TACTTACCATCAAAGCTTCTCAAACAATGCATTACTAACTGATAACAACACACAACTAAAAACTCTAATCATTCTCATTTATATTCCATTTATGTAAGTTTTTATAAAACCTTTACAGATTATTAATATATTCTAATCGCATTCTTTTTGTTAAATAATACTTCTTTATGATTCTTCTATTACAGCTACAACAATCTTATTAATCCACGCTTAAAGATATTAAATAATTTTCATTTTAAGTCATATTAACAGTGTATATATAACATTTTTATAAAAATAATGTTTATTTACTTTTTAATAAAAAAATAAGAAACAAATCTTAAAATAAAAATATTTTCATATTTAATTTAAAAAACTTAAACAACCACATTAAATTTTGTAATATATTTTTCAGAAAAGTGATTTTATTAAAAAGAAAACACAGACAAACTCTTATGTTTCAAGAATCCCAACTGTCTTACTTCTTCATGTAATTGATTTAGTGGGTTTTCAATAATAAAAGAAAAACAGTAGAGAAAATACCTTTTCAATCGTTTGTTATTGTTTTGTAAAATAAAAAATGGATATCTCAGTATGACAGTAGCAGTGCAACATGTATTGAAATCAAACCACAGAAGTTCTTTACCACTTTTTTCTTTCCAAACTGCTACCAAAACTTCGAGTTTTATATCAATTAGTGATTAAATTTTAGCAAAAATTGTAATTTTTTGTAAATCCCGTTTCTTATTTGATAAACTGTGAATTTGAAAGATGATCATGATTCATTCATGCACGCACCTTCTATGGTTGGTGTTCATATCATGGATATTAATGCATACACGCGTAGGTTATGGAAACGTAAGAATTTTATATTGCAATGTTGACATATGCATGCACATCTCTTGGAAGTAATAGCCACTTTCCATTAATTGAATTTGAAGCCGGAACATAAGGAATGCGTAACAAAGATCCACACAGTATATGAAAACAGACTTTGATTTTTTTGGTGCATCAATGAAATGTGCCCAACAAAGATAGGGTGGTTCTCACTCATCTAACATGTTAATAATATTTTTTTCAGAATTAATCTACACCAACTAAACAAGTCTTTCGTATAAAACTTATTCTCTCCTTAGTTTTTCACATTTTAGTGTCATTATTTTTTAGTATAACCATAATAAACTATTTTATTATTTAAAATTAATTAACTTAACAATTCTATTAATTATATTAAATATCAACTGCTATATTATTCTATATTTTTTAATTAAATAATTTTTTCAAAAAATTAATTATTAAATTTATACATAATTAATAAATTAAATTGTTAGTTATCTATTTGTGAGATTTTTGTTGTTGTTGAATTTTAATAAAGTTTGAGACAGAAGCTTAAACATAGGTTAATGATAATCTGATATGATGATGTAATAGTTTATATTTATTAACCTTGTACAACTCATTGTTTTTTCTCTATATATATATATTAACTTTATTAATCCAATTGCAAAGAATATGTACAACAAAATTTAAATAAATTGGACATTTATAATTATAAACTCTAATATAAATTCTTTACTTATATATATTAATAATATATTATTCACCACTAAATTAAATTTATTAAATAAGAAAATTATTAAGTGAGAAAGAAATTTTGCGATAAATAAAGACAAAATTAAAAACAATTAAGGTAAAAGATGTTTGTTAAGTTTTATATTTGTACTTTTGTCATGTTTAATATCTCAGGAAAAAAAAAAAAAGGACAGACAGAATCATTCTCCTATCATAAATATCTTTGAACAAATTAATGTTCACAGCTATGGTTAGGTGTTGTGAGGAATGACAGAATGATGCATGTCTTTGAATGAACAAAAAGCAGTATTATGTTGATTCAGCTAGCCCACTTTACTTTTACAATGTGCAAGTTTCGAAACTTTCAATTTCCAAAGCACCAAAATTAGACTATCCAACACCAAAGGTCCTTCACCCTTTAAGATAAGGTTTTCCAGAAGAGCAATGATATATTCTTTTATAATCATTTTTTATTTTTTAATATTGTATAAACATATTAAACTAAAAAAATAGATGTATTTATTATTTTCTAGTTATATAATATTTTCATTTAACATCACTATTTTTTTTATTTTCCCATTTTTTTAGGATTATCACTGTTTTTACCCTTTGGTTTATAGGATATATTTAATCTGTTGAACATTTTAGATATCAAGAATAATTTCATGGTCTAAAAAAATAAATTATATTATGTTTTTTAAAATATACTGTCTTTAAAAGACTAATGATTAAATTAAAAACTTTACAAAGATAAAATAGTTATTTCATAATTAAAAGTCTTTGTTCCATCAAATAAGGTTATATATATTTAGGGGGAAATACAGTTAAACAATGAAATTTAATAGATCCATCTTCTTCCTATGTTCCATTTCTATGTATACAAATCAAAAACAATTTTTTATATTCTGAGTGGAATATTTAAAAACAAAAAAAAAAAACTTAAACTCATTAGTCTAACTACGTATTGTGAATTTATTAATATATTCAGATGCATCTTTGTAACCTTCTAAAAGAATTCTCATTGCATGTTTTGGGGATGTGGAATTTGACTTCAACACAATTGCTAAGCACAACATGCAATTTTATAATTAAGTGGCGTCGGGTGGAAATTTGAAACATGGTATTATAATATTACTGGACTTAACTATGCTCTTAACTAACTACCAAAACAGCTTAAGGTACCCATCATTGGTAGTAGAGGGCAGTGAGTGACTCTTCAATTCTCAACCAATGGATATGAAGATTAGTTTAACGAAGGTACTTCAGTAGCAGAGATTAGTATACTAAAAACCCATGTTTTGATAGTAATGAGTTGGTGGAACGCATCGGGTTGACGTGCACATGGAAAAAGCACTGTTCCTCAGTCATTTTGCTAAGCCAAAAGTGCAAAGGCATGCACTGCACTTACTAAACTACACGAGAAATAAAAACAACAGTTCCGGGTTTGTTGTTGTACGGATCTCTACTTTACTCTCGGATCTAAACTTCTGGTTGATACTCTAGTTGGACCGTCAACGATGCGTCAACCCAACACATGGTCACCATGGCATTAATGTTTCATATTCACAATTTGACATATATACTATATAAGGGATAAAAAGTAAAAATATTTGGCTTCGGATCTACTATTTCATTGATATGTATGTAGCTTCTGGAAGGAAGGAAGGTTTGTGAATGCGAATTGTAAGGAAAGGACATGGAAGAGGTCTTGTTCATGGTGAGGTTGGCATTCTGGAACCAGCCAGGGAACGGGAGCAAATGGGAATGGCCCCACTTACTCACAGTGACGTTACGTAGGTCGATTGCTTCCTGTCTCAGCAAAGGGACAATAGAATCGCCAACAAGACAACAAGGTCAAAAACAAAATCACTGCTTCCTTTATTGTTCTTACTATCAACGATAGTATTATAAAATAGAGGTTCACAAAAATAAATTACGATAGTATTTGAGCTTCAATGAGATGGAAATGGTTAGAGGAGATAAGAAGAAAAGAAGGATAAGCATAAACTTTATGCCTCTGCCACTGACTTTGACCTCTGCAGCGAATTTCAAACTTCATTCAGACACATCTTACTGCACGACTCCCTTGGTTCATTGGCATGAGCAACGCATAATTGTCCCTCCATCCCATCTCAGAATCAATGATACTTTATTCGACCTACCAATCAACGTTGCCCACGAGTATAAATAACAGCTTAATTATTTTGTCAAACAATAATAATGTTGTTCGTCACGAATAATGTCCCGTGAGGAGTGTTACAAAAATACTCCTTAAAAAAAGGATTATGCTTTATATAATTTTCAGAATCATTAGTTGTTTAACCCCTGTTCTTAATGTGTTCACATCACATAAACTTCTGCAAAATAAAACAATACTCTAAAGAACTGCTTTTAAAATGGAGATGAATATATAAAGCAAAATGCTGATATATTATTCTCCAAAAGATACTAAATAACGAATCGAAAGTAAAATTATTTCATTAAAAACATTTACTTATATCACCAGGACAGGACTTCAATCCTTAGACGCTGCTTAGTAAAGGCCGTAGAGAGAAGAAGGTAATTTAAAAGATTTTTGTTAAATAGTTTATAATAATCATACTAGACGCTAAATAATTTATTTATTATCTTTCTATATAAACCGAAAATAAAGCGAAATGTTGATAGTTCAAAAGAAAAACAGTACAGCTAGATATAGTGAAAAGTGAGAAAGTAAAGAAAAAATGAGAGGAAAACACGAGAAACGCTTGCGAATCTTTCTCGCGCTTTCTCTGCTTTTAATACCATCACAGCCCAATGTCTGTCCTTACTTTCACTGCAAAAGTTAACCCCTTCAATTTTAATGTTGCTCAGCTGAGTCACATTTAGTCATTTATTTTGTATTAAAAAGGTAAACGAGTTGAGTTGCGTGGGAGAAATCCCAATGCGCCAATGGCCCTCCAAACTATCTCAAATAACTGACGGACCGGAATAAAAAAGGAGAAAAAATTAGTCAAATTACCATTTTTTTAAAAAGAATACCCTTCTGCCAACTATCCTTTCCAAATGAGCTGTGCTGTACACTTTCTTTATTAACAAACTAACCACGCACTGTGAATCCAATCTTTGAGAAACGTTTTCACGTCTCCTCTATCTCTATCATTTTTCACATCATATTCATATCCTATTTCTGACCACAATGAATCCACAAACTCACTCCTTTCACACGAAAAACAAAGACAAAAGAGACAGAGATCATTTCTATCATATCCTCCATGTACAAAGATCTCCCTGCCTTCATTATCATGGCTGTGCATCTTCAAAATTCAGCCACGAAAACAACCTGCATTCAGGTTAACTCTCTTGGTCACAGCCACAGAAACAGTGGCCCGTGAATCAAACCGCCAACTGCAAGTTCTCCCGCTCCAACATTTCAGATATTTTCTGGATACTCTTCTTTTTACTTAATATTACCAGTCCTCAATGAATATTCTACCCACAAAATCCCGGAACCTTTTTGAATAGAGCTTCGGATCAACGGCTGAGATTGATGACGGGTTAACCTGTAAAGACTTGTAAGCATGCTCCAGTTTCTTGCTGATATCGTAATCTTGCAAAATGTCAATAATCCCAAAATATAAAACAACGTCGTATGTTTCACCGCTGCAACAAGGGGAGTATTGATCAAAATAACTCCTCCGAGCCAAGCGCTCTGCTCTCGCAGGCATATTGGCTCCTAGTCTAATCAATGATCTCCTGAAACATGAAGAGATAAGTATAAGATGGAGTATAATAACCGGGCCAACACTAAATTAAGAACTCCAAATTATTTTTAAAGAGATTAGGACCACAATCTGCATGTGTGATGTGTCCCCACAAACAACTGTTTCCTGCTCTACTCTATCCCCAACTACACACAAATATAATTCAAAATACTTGCAAAGTTGCAATTATTATCATGAATGTCGTCAATTCATAAGGTCTTACAACATTTTTAGGCTTCTAAAAGACAATGAATGCTTCTTATCTACTTTTTCAGTAGGATGGCGGCAATGTGTATACCAACCCAATAAGACTATGGATGCAGATGTTAGCACAGAGCAATTATTCTATCAACTTAAAAACAAAATAAAAAAAAATATCGGTAGAGAAAGCGAGTTTTTTTCACGTACCGACCAGATTTAACCCGATCTCTATCCTGCAGCTCTGCTTCAAGAAAGCGATAACCACGCATGAACTTTTCGCTCTGATAGGAATCCCCCTTTCCTAAAACAAGTAACAACAAAATTACTTATACACTGTTACTGTCAGGTAAACATTCTGACTATTAGCACTGAAGTGAAATATGGATCAATACCAGTGCGCAAAAGAAACGGTGACAATCCCATTTTTTCATATGTATTATCATCACGAAAATGAAGACCGACTAAGAGACTGTAATCCATAATTCCCTCGGCTTCCAAGAACTCACAGTCCCGCTCAATTTGTCTGTGCACATAATGTCGAGAAAAGATTAAATCAACAGATGTGCATGACGTTTAAAAGTGTTGAATAGGACAAAAACTAAGCATCATACTTGATGAGATCCTGGAAACAATTTTTTTGTAGACGAAACACAAAATTGAGATCCAGGTCCTTAAGGGTGGTGGTTTCATCAATTTCCTCCTTGGTCTTATCTGTTGTACGACCATGGGAAGATCCTTTTAAGTCAAATCGTCTATGGATTGGATATTCCGAGCAGAAAAGGTTGCCCATCACAATAAAGCGTGTCTGGATTTCAATATCAAAAAAATTTCAGGCACTCGGGCACATAGAACTACTGCTTCTAACAGCAAACAACTTATCTCTAAAGATATACCTTTTGGCCTCCAATTGGTTTGACACAGTGTACTCCATAGAACTTTGTAACAAGTGAGTTCTCATAATCAGAAACATGTCGGTAATAACTTCGGAGCATCCGAAGAAGCACCTGAAAGTCATGTTATTGTTGCCAAAGTTATGTATTAATAAAGATGTTCACCACCAAGCGAAAGATTCTAGTTGAAGAAAACTTGATATAAGGAAAAAAAATTAATAACTGATTTGAATAAATTCCAAGACTAAAATTAAAGTGGATTTAAATTAATACACTTGATATAAATAAATTGTCATCAACGTATGATAAAAGAGATTTAACTACCTACTGCTTTGGAGCATAAAATAGCGCTCATTGAAATAAAAACATATCCATTCAGTATACTATTGAACATGGAAAGAAGTTTTCAAATCTAACGAGAATCTGCAACACATGTATCTAACCTTGACTTCGGATTTCTTCACGGTTTTTATCATAAACCTGTCATCCTGAGTCAAGTAGAAGAAGCTTCCACTTTTCCCCGGAGAGGAAAGCTCCCTGAGGGCATCATTCCCACATATGGCCAACATGTAATCAGCTGGGTCCACCTGAAATAGCTTCCTCAACTGTCTGCAATACAAAACAGAACCCAGTCAACAAGAAGCAGAAAAAGCTGCAATGAAACTCTAACAGTGTTCCCCAAAGATTGAGCAGGTAATTATCATTGCAGTGTTAGGGTTAAAAAAATTATCCTACCAATTGGGTCTATAGGATAAATTGGATAAAATCATAAAACCAAAACGAAAAGGCTATACCTAAAAACCATAGGGCAGTAGTCCTTCCAGCGGAACTCCGCCGATAGATGTGGTGGCGTAATCTTAGATCCTTCAGAGGGAAACCTAGTCCAGAACTTCTCCTTGGGATCAAAATCGCTCGATTTAAGCTCTCGCGAAATGGAAGCTTCCTTCCCAACAGAGTATCTACAAAACAACACAAAAGCAAAAACTAAAATCCTGAACCCAGATTTACTAAACAACAATTAATGAAGACATTCAACTCTAAAAGTGTTGAATTTAAAACCTACCTTATTCCCAATTGCAGATTAAGCATAAGATCGTAATTCTTATGTCCCTTGGATATAGTCTGGCCCGGTCTCTTCACCTCACCGGTAAAACAACAAGGATTCCGTCGAAACGGCTTAATATGTCCCCGATCCGACCCGGTTTCATTCCCATCCCGATACAACAAGGACACATTATCGATGATATCACAGGTTATATCCCCCGCTTCACCCTCCGATTCCCAGATGCAAATCCTGGGAAAACTCTTCACACAACTCCCTCTGGAACTGTCAACGGAGGACCTCTTCCTCATAGTGACAGTGAAATTATCACCAGTGCCGGGGTAAAAAGTTCCGTCCAGCTGGTGCACCTTGAGGTCCTTGTTCCAGCACCCAACATAGCAGCTCCCATCGGGCCAAGTGAAAACCCCTTGCCCCTTGGGAACCCCGTTCTCCCACTGCCCCTCGTAACGATTCCCATTGGCCCAAATCAGCGAACCCCGCCCACAAATCACCCCGTTCCTCCATTCCCCGCAGTACTCGTTTCCGTTTCTCCACACGTACCTTCCCTCCCCCTCCTGAACGTTCCGCTTCCACAACCCCTCGTAGAAGTCCCCGTTCGCGTAACACTTCTGGCCGTACCCTTGCTTTCTGTCGGAGCTCCACGACCCGCAGTACGTCTCGCCCTCGGATCCAGTAAAGGTCCCAACCCCCTCCATCCGACCCGATTTGAATTCCCCCTCGTAGGTGGCACCTGAAGGCCACGAGAACTTCCCCTTCCCGCACGCCTTCCCTTTCTTCCACTCACCCTCGTACATACACCCGTCTCTCCACAGATACTTCCCCGATCCGCTGGGCGCGTTGCCCGAGAAACTCCCCATGTAAACGTCACCGTTGGGCAAGCGCTTCTCCAGGAAGCTGCTAGTTACCTCTGAATCTTCCTCGCTGGGCGTGACTCTTCGGTTGCCGCCTTGTGAGCGGCTCCAGCCGGTTACCTTGTAGGTGTCTCTCTCGGCGTCTGGGTTTTTGTTCCTAGTGTCGTGTACAAGTGCTTGGCGCATTTTGTGGTGTGGAAGGAGATTGCGTGATCAACGCATTTCCGGCGAGGAATGTAAAGTGAGACGGTCAGGTGCGCCCACTGCACATTACAGATAAGAAGTTAACTATGAGTGAGGGAGTGAAGGGATTGTTTGTTTTGTGTGGAAGTATGATGGTTTTCTAGGTTGGGCTCCCTTTGTGCTTTGGTGGGGTGGAGGCATATCAACAGCTCAAAACAGATGCCAGGTGGACTAAAGTGAAGCTCTGTTGTAACAACTACTACTAATATAAATTTATTATTATTATTATTACAAATGAGTAATTAATTAGGCGGCTCTGCCTAGGGAACGTTGATCACTTAGAGATTGGTTATTTTTAATAGGACGAATATACCCTCCAACTCCAACCACACAGTATCTGTGTTTTGCTTTGCTTTCATCAGTTGACGTGATGGAATTGCCTACTTAATCTCATTCATTATCTTTTCTGAAAGAGAAGGAGACCATGTAACTTCAACAACCCTTTTACTATTTATGTCCCTCCTCTTTCCCTTCACAATTACAATTACGCTTTACATTACATATATATTATATATATCAAATTGAATTAATATTTTAAATGATATAAAAAAATCATAAATATACTCGTTTCTTTCTTTTAATAATTTATTTATTTTTTTCTCTTCTCCTTAACTTTCTAAATATTCTATTTTTCTCTTACCTCTTTCATTTATCTTTTACTTAAAACTATTATATTAAAATTTAATAAAAATATGTTCAAGTAAATTTTTAACATTAAAATTAAAAATATATCAATAAATTATTTAAAATTATAATAATAATATTATGATACTAAATAATTTTATTTATAATAATATAAATAATTAATTTAAAAATAATAGTTATATTATACATGATGAAATTAAATTTAACTTAAAAAAAAACATTTCTTTATATGCCTAGGAATAATATACACTCTCTTCTTCAAAATATACACACTTTAATATATTTTATTGAATTTTACTTTTTATAAATAAAAATTACTTATTATTTTACAATATTAATTATTTTTCGAAGCAATTATGATAAACAATGCTAAATAGTCATCTATTTTATTAGTTTCACAATATTTTTTAAAAATATTAAGAATAATATTATAAATATGCATAATTAATACAATTAAGCACAATTATTAAAGCAATATTCAATTGATGTTATTAACATAGTCTTTATTCAAATACTTAAATTAAAATTGTATTGTTTAGTAGACATTATATCTATAGTAAACATACAACTTTAAAAATGTATGTATTTACGTAAAAATATATTATTAAATAAAAAAATTAAACAAAATAAATAATTAGAATTCTGTGTGCCTGTAAACACAGAATAAAGTTTATTATTATTATTTTCCAGTAAAAGGTTATTTTATGAAACATATTTTAAATAATTTATTACATATTTTGGAGAGATTCTACGAGTGAATATAAACTAATTTTATAAAAGAATATAATTTTTTTTAACTTTAAAATATTTCATTTATAAATTTTTTATTATTATTTATAAGCTAATTAATTTTTATTATATTCAAATTTTTAACTCACACAATTTAACCATATATATATATATATATATATATATATATATATATATTATTTATAATTTAGTTTGTGTGTGAAATATATTTTCATAGGTTGAAGAAGGTGAGTGTGTAATACTTTCAGTGGCAAGTATTTTCTCATATTTTTTTATTTATTTAAACAATTTCACAATAATTTGTTCATATTAAAAAAATATATAAAATATTGATATCAGTTTATTATATAATAATTTTTATTTTAATTAATTTATTATTATTTTTCTAACTTTTCTTTTACATTTTTTTCATTTATCATTAATTTTAGTAAGTTTAGTATTGAAAATTGTAACAAAATAAAAATACTAATTAAAAAATAATAAAAATAGTTTGAAGTATAATTAAGTAGCTTGTTTATATATATATATATATATATATATATATATATATATATATATATATATATATATATATTATAGGGAACGAGGTATGATTTATTTTGATACTTTATAAATAATCATATTTATATTTTTGTACCAAATTTTATTTAAATAATATAATTACATGTATTTTTTATTATTTTATATTATATAATAGATTATGTGTTTATCATTTTATTTATAAAAAAAGGTTTAATAAAAAATATACTTAACCACTTTAAAAATATAATATTTATACTAGATAAAATTTTTAATATATTATGATTAGTATGATTAAAATATGAAATCATTTAATAAATTTGTTATTTTTACTTTTGGGGGGAACGTTATAGTGATATATGATGAAGTAAAATATATTACATTCGGTCAAAATTAATGAACTGAAATGACAAATAATAAAATACAAATATATTAAAAGTAAAATATAAGCATTTAAATTATACATATACACTCAAATAATATATATATATATATATATATATATATATATTAAAAAGTAATGTTTATATAATATAATAATTATATTCTTTATGTTGTCTTAACTTATGCTTTTTGTTTTTATTCTGTTATCAAGAACTAAACTAAGGTTAGTTGGCGAGGACTTAAAAATAATTACAAAAAGTTAAATATCTAAATATTGTAAATACTAAAACCTAAGATGGAAATTGAACATGTTTAATCAAAAATTTTAATTTAACAAATTAAAATTTTATATAATTTAATATTTTTTAACTTAAAAATATCAGTTTTTGATTGTTTTTCTTTTACCCAAACCTGACTATTTACTTTCGTCATGAGAATTATTATTTAGTTTATTATATTTCCATTAATATAATAACTATCAAGAAAGGAAATTTATTAGATTTATTTAAAATTAAAAAATTAATTACGATCTAGTGAATTTGTACAAGAATACTTTTACAAGTTAGTTTTAATTTATAATTATTATTTTTTTCTTAATAAAGGTTTTGATATTTTTTTTTCTTTATTTTTGTACGGTCGTTTTCCAACTCAGACGGAAACGTGCAATGTTGAAACAGCGACCTCGTTTTCCCCCGTTCGGGGAGATCATGGTGCTGTGACCACGTGTCCCGTCCTCTTCCTTTGTTATTTTCTTTTCTTCTCACTTCCCTGTTCATAACGGCTTCTTTAGTAATCAAGTTTCATTATTTTTCTTCTTAGATTTCTTCAGCTATTAGTAAACGGGTTTTTTAGTGACACACAATCGCATTCATATTCTATAATATTTCTATCTCTTATGCTCATCATCATGCAACCTAATCCTCCAAATTAATTAGACTCTATCTCACTTAAATCTTATATAAACTTTTCTTCTCGAATAAAACCATAAATCAATAATAACGTGGTCTTTCGAACAATAATATTGTTATGGCATCCAAACTAAAAAAAAAGTGAACATAACTACTTTGACTTAAGTACTGATAATGTCATGCATAAGTGCGTAGAACATTTATAACGTTGTTGTTGTAACTATATTTAGATGGTTAAAATAACTCATAATAATGTTGGACACCAAAAATTTGGATTATATATGGTACGCAAATTTTTTATTTACATTTTCAGATTAAATATTGACTAATTGCTAATTTATAGAATGTAAGAATAATAATGTCAAAATATTAAAATATTATTCTTTAAAAAATAGCCTTTGAAATTAATTTTTATATATCAAATTCGGTGAGTTCCGAACAATAAATTATTTTGTGAGTATTCCAAATTCTCCTGTTTAATTATGGTATCCAACTATGCATAGTGATATATTTAACGTCCCCTTAAGGATTCTAATCAATACTATATGAATTAGTTGGTAGGTTTTGTTGTAATTGTTTAATTAAAAATATATGTAATGCAATTATTAAGTGTAAAATATATTTAAAATGACAATTTATTTGGAATAACTAAGTACATTTATATATTTTCTTATTCTTGTAAGTACGTTGATCATATAAGAGTTTATTTAAGAGTTTTAGTTAAAACCTTAGGTAAAAATTGATTAAAAAAAGGGGTTATTTCCTAACGGACTACATTATTAGGGTAAATAATCATAATTAAACAACGGCAATAATGCATATAATTTCAATATAATATTTTGATACTATATGGATTTGTTAGTTTTTCTATAGAAGATTTTATTAATAAATTTTATTTAAATATAGACATATTAACCAAATTATAAATAAGTTTTCAAACTTTTTTTTTCACTGCAAATTGAGCTTTAATTACACTTTAAGTTTCTTTAAAAAAAATATTTTTGAGCTAATGATAAAATACACCAAAACATTATCTCACTGATTTATGTTAAAATAAGTTATAAGTTTAGTATCGAATAAATGATTAAAATTTTTGTGATTTAAATTAAATTAAATCTATTTTAATTTCATTTATTTAAAAAATAATTTATATGAACTTAGATTATATTAATTCATAAATTTATGAATCAATTCATTTTATAGAAGATAATAATTTTTATAAATAAAAATAAAAGTAATATTAAATATATATATATTATAAATTAATTTAATAAAAAATTACTTATTTTTAAAATAAATATTAAAATAATTTTTGAATAATTATTTATTTTAAGATTTAATAATTAAGATTAATTACTATTTTAAATTAATAAATTATTAAAATAAATAATAAATTATTAATTTTTATTTTAAATAAAACGGATGTATTTTTTTATAATTTATATATATTAAATTACTACATTTTAAATAAAAACTATTTTTATTAATAAAAAATAAAATTCCAAAATATATTTAATTTTTTAAAATATTTTTTAATTTATTTATTTTATATAAATATGTAATATATTATTTTAAAAATTTTAATCATACCAAAAATTAAACCATTAATCTAATATAAAAGTATCCTAAACTAAAATCTTTGACTCATAAGTCAAACCAAATCAGTAATTATTTTTAATTGTTTTTAGATCAAATCATCAATTATTTTTAGATGAGTAAAATCAGATCAAACTCGGT